GTCCAGTATGAAAGAGCTGTACAAAACGTTCGACGGCGGGCGGCTGCGGCATGGGCGGTCGGCAACGGCGGAAGATAAGTAATAATGCAGTTAAGTGCCAGTCCGCCGCACATTCGGTCTCCCGGCGGCCTATCAAACTGCAATATCGTTTTATGAGCTGAGTCATTCGGCCGACAAACATTAGTGACTCCTTGCTCAATGCTCGACTATATGAAACATCCTGGTACTTAGGTCATTGCTAATGTAAAATAAATGAGTCTTAAATTTAAAGTGCCTCAAATTGACTCTACTTCTAAGTCACTGCTTAAAGATAAGACTAATGTTTTTTGATAAAAATTACAAAAAAAAAATATTTTAATTTTTAACAAATAAAATACAGAACGTGCACAGTAAATTTTTCATTGCTAGGATATTGCGCTTTATGGACAATTCAGGATACAAGTGGCCAATAACTGGCGAAATGGAGGCGAAGTTCATTTTGTTCAAACTCTACACTGAACTAGCGAATCTAGAATACATATGTATATAAAAATATATATTTAAACAGTTTTTAATTAAAAATAGCGATGTTTTAGAGAGCGGCTTCAGATAACACAGCGTAATGAGATCTTGGCCGTGAATCATAGCTCTCTGGGGCCGTCCTCGCGTCATACTTCCAAGGATCACGACCGTTGGGAGTTTCCTAGAACTCATCGCTAGATGCTCGCCAGATGAATAATATAACTTGTTCAAATATATCTTATGAAATTTATATGAGTCAAAGTATATTTGAACAAAAACTTACGCTAACACAATTCATTATCGTTAAATTGATCAATATCGTTAAATTGACATTCTGCAAAATAAATATTGCTTTATTAGTAAGATACTTTTGACTAAACGATGTATCGTTTTACGACGGGGAAAAATAAAATAATAATAGAATTAAAGATGTGTTATTTTGTTAGCATATATTCTTAAATAAATAGAGTAATGTATTTAAAGTAATATGCCTATCATAAAAAAAAAATATTTAATAGAACAATTGCTAAATCAAAAGCATGGGTTCGATTCCTACACAAGTCTATTAAAGGTTTTATTGAAGAAAATTTTGGAGCAGAAGAGCAAATAATAGAATTTGTGCCTATTTTGTTTCGTAATAGCAAATGCTACGTTGTCATACTAAGAAATATAGGTTTGATATCAGTTAACAATTTTAACCATAACATAAAATCATAGTAAAGTACCGTATAAGTAGTAAATGATCCGTTATCTGGTAAATCGGATTAGTACGATCACAATATAAAAGTTTTTAAGGAACAAGCTTATTAAAAGCCTTCTTTTCACAAATTTCACAAAGTAAGAAATGATACAAATATTGTCAAATAATAAATATCTTGGACTTGGACACCAAGTCCATTTTAATGCGAAATGGATTCTCTTTCATGATATTTATAAATGTGTTTTTACTAATAGGCTTTTGAAATTATCATTCCTCGCGTGTACATTACAGGGTGACGTTTTTGGGAGAATATTTTAGTGTTTCAGGAAGTTAGGGAGTTCGTAATTAGTTACCAGCCAGCAGGTGTCTCTGTCTTTGCAGTATCATCACGTCCCATAACTTTTTCATTTGACGCGTACACGAACAACTTTTCCATTTCTTTTTATTAACATTGTAACGAAAATGAGAGTAGGCTTTATGAGAAACGGATACCTGATGGGTTTTCATAAAATATTACTGTCGTTGAGAGAACCTTTCTTTCTATACATGAAATTAAGCGTATCGTAGTAGACACTTTTACTTAACTATTTTTATATCTTAAATGTCTTTGTGATATATGTAATGTATGTAACTCGATTGTAAAAAATAATGTTGATTCATCAATATAGTTATAATACATTCCTTAGTGATTTTTTTTTCAAATCATAAAACTGTTGTTTCGGTTTTATAAAAGTATAAAAAATATAACTTGTTATACCTAATTAAGCTTTTACGTAGTTATTGCATTTTTCCAACAAAGCTACTTGTAAAACTCCAACTTCTTAACCTTTAATGAGTCGTTCAAAAAAAAATATAAAACCTTGTTTGGAATGAAATCATTTTGCTCTTTTGACTTCTGTTGTAGAAATTATCTTGGTAATATAATTTTATGTAAACGCAACGAAAAGGAACATTAAAGCAGCGATGAAAAGTATAAATTTGGGTATTTTGTGCGGCAGACGAAATAGCCCTCCATTTTTTTACCTCTCACCTTCCTCTTATAAAATTGTCTGAGATAGAAACCGTTTAACTTATGTTATCGCGTTAAAAATTACAATGAATCTCAACTTACTAGTGAAGTGGTCTTATAAATTGGAATTTACTAGAATAATTTAGGATCATAGTCAATTTAAATAAGCCATAATAAAAGTAAATAATTAATATTTAAAAAATCTAAATGTTTTTTATTGTAATTAAGATGTTTCATAATAATATAAACACATTATGATTATCTTTACATATAATAAAACTGTAAGCTTAATCTGTACATAAAATATTTTTTGGAAAATCTTATTAAAATAGACATTATTATCGATGCGGAAGCCGAATCTATAGTTTTTATAATTTTTGTCTGTCTGTCTGTTACCGCATCACAGAAAAACCACTGGAGGGATTTTGATGAAATTTGGTATGGTGATAGCTGGATATCCGAGTCAACATATAGGATACTTTTTACCGCAGGAAAATATCTCATTTCTGAGAAAAATACAAAAAACTGCAAGTAAACTGTAAGAGTATTCTAATATGTAAAACCTAAGAATTTAGTTTTTCGTCATCTGAACGCGGGCGGAGCCGCGGGCAATGCTAGTAAATTATGATATCATTATGAAAGACGTAGATTTGGATAAATTATATATGTTTCTGTGTTTAGACGATTAAGTACTTACTCGTATTTATTTCCAAGAGACTAAGGCATCAGATTATCTAGAATGTCTGGTTAACCTCAACCTCAAATTATATCAGATCTTGTTTTTTTTTATTAACGTATGGAAACACTTCTGCCTAATATATATTTTTAGTATAATCTTAAACTCTTTACTAACTATTATTATATTTTTACTCATTATATGGAAATGATTTTATGTAAGTGATCTTTTTTTCAATGATAAATGATTTAATTTCAATTACCATTTTCGCGTTTAAAACATTAGTCCAATTAAAGTTAACTGATGTAAAAACGAGTATGTTAAGATGGAAATGGCCGGTAAGTCTGCAATGTGTCATGAATGTATACGGAATTGAGTAGCAAAATAGAATAATATTTCTTTTTTGATGATTTTGTAAAATGTGTCACAATATATTATGTTATTTATTCGTCATATTATATAGTAATAAATTGTGCTAAAGAAATGGACATACTTCTGGGGTTGTTCGGTAATAGAATGGTAATAGTCTAAGCACATTCTTCTAAAACGATTGCATACTAAAAAGAGAACACCTGTTAGTATAAGAATATTTTAAGGCAGAAAAATTTCAGATCTGTAGATAAAATCATTGAAACTATAAAATCAAACGTTCGCACTTTGCTAATTCTAAACTGGCGTCATCACAAATTACAATCTCGTCGCCCTGGCAGTTTCGCGATAAGGATCATTTTATTCCTACGAAAGGGACTTGCGTTGCAATCGAACATCCTCGGGTTGATTACTAAGTGCCCTAGAGGCCAGATTTCATGAAACCAATTGCCATTCACGCGTAGGCGAAAGTGATCACCAGGGCGATATTATTTAAATGTAATCTTTTTTCGATACTCTTCCTTGCGCTAATACGTTTACTTAATGTTATTAAAACTGGGTTTAACTATTCGGAAAATCCAATTTTACAAAATTTCACGAATTTTTTTCACTAAATTAAAAAAAAAATAACCTCTAGTATAGTTATTTAGGTTCAAAGTCTTATTTTCAACCGACTTCAAAAAGGAGGAGGTTCTCAATTCGACTATATTTTTTTTTATGTTTGTTACCTCAGAACTTCGTCATTTATTAACCGATTTGGACAATTTTTGTTTTGTTTGAAAGGGTTTCCAGATTGGTCCCATTTAAATTAAAAAAAAAATACCACCCCTAAGGCTGGAAAAATAGCTAATGATAAATAAATATTTAACTTGCTTCTAATTGTCAAAAAAAAAAGATTCCGACGAATTGAGAACCTCCTCGTTTTTGGAAGTCGGTTAATAAAACTGTAGAGATCGAATGTCTGTACTTAGAAAAAATATGCTAAAAACCGAGTCAGGGGATGTAAGAAGAGAAATCCAGATTTTTTCAATTTTTTTTGTTTCTCTGTCTGTTTGTCTGTTTGTACGGGCTAATCTCCGAAACTGTTAGACCGATTTAAATGAAACTTTGCATGGTGGTACCTTATATCCCTGATCAACATTTTAGATACTTTTCATCTCGGAAAATTAAAGAGTTCCCGTGGGATAGTTAAAAATCTATAGTAACTTATACATCTTAGTACACAAAAACTACGGATTGGATTTTAATGAAACTGTATTTTAGTAACTATATTATATTACTATTATAAAACTGTATTGTAGAACTGTAGTTCACACATCAGAATAACAAATAAGCTACTTTTTATCCCGGAAAAATGTGCGGTTCCCGTGGGATAGATTTGTCTTTGTTTGTCTAGAAACCCGAGCGAGCCGATAGAAACTAATATATAATTTGATGGATGAAAGAGAAGAGATATTAAAAGAAACACAGAAGACACAACTTACACTAACTGGCAACACTTAAACTAACTGGCAGTTAGTCAAACTGACAGTTAAACTAACTGACAGTTAAGCTAACGGACAGATAAACTAACTGAGAGTTAAACATACCGACAGTTAAACTAACTGGAGGTTATACTAAGGTACGAAAGGTAAGGTATTTTAAAGGTACGAACTTTTAAGGTATCTCTCGAATCTTTTGTATGGGAGTATAGACAAGTGTTCTTTCAACTTTCTTTTACACAAAATTATATATAAAAATTACTATACCTTGACTTGACTTGACTGGAACGGGTGCTTCAGACGGAAATAGACGGCGATAGACGGAGATGGACGGAGATAGCCGGAGATAGCCGGAGATAGCCGGAGATAGCCGGAGATAGCCGGAGATTGCCGGAGAATGCCGGAAACAGCCGAAGATAGCCGGAGATAGCCGGAGATAGCCGGAGATAGCCGGTGATAGCCGGAGATAGCCGGAGAATGCCGGAGATTGCCGGAGACTGCCGGAGATTGCCGGAGATAGCCGGAGATAGCCGGAGATAGCCGGAGATACCCGGAGATAGCCGGAGATAGCCGGAGATAGCCGGAGATAGCCGGAGATAGCCGGAGATAGCCGGAGATAGCCGGAGATAGCCGGAGATAGCCGGAAACAGCCGGAGATAGCCGGAGATAGCCGGAGATAGCCGGAGATAGCCGGTGATAGCCGGAGATAGCCGGAGATACCCGGAGATAGCCGGAGATAGCCGGTGATAGCCGGAGATAGCCGGAGATAGCCGGAGATAGCCGGAGATTGCCGGAGATAGCCGGAAACAGCCGGAGATAGCCGGAGACAGCCGGAGATAGCCGGAGATTGCCGGAGATTGCCGGAGATCGCCGGAAACAGCTGGAGATAGCCGGAGACAGCCGGAGATAGCCGGAGATTGCCGGAGATTGCCGGATATTGCCGGAGACTGCCGGAGTTTGCCGGAGATAGCCGGAGATAGCCGGAGATAGCCGGAGATAGCCGGAGATAGCCGGAGATAGCCGGAGATTGCCGGAGATAGCCGGAAACAGCCGGAGATAGCCGGAGACAGCCGGAGATAGCCGGAGATTGCCGGAGATTGCCGGAGATTGCCGGAGATTGCCGGAGATCGCCGGAAACAGCCGGAGATAGCCGGAGACAGCCGGAGATAGCCGGAGATTGCCGGAGATTGCCGGAGATTGCCGGAGACTGCCGGAGATTGCCGGAGATAGCCGGAGATAGCCGGAGATTGCCGGAGATTGCTGGAGATTGCCGGAAATAGACGGAAATAGCCGGAGATTGCCGGAGATAGCCGGAGATAGCCGGAGATTGCCGGAGATTGCCGGAGATTGCCGGAGATTGCCGGAGATCGCCGGAAACAGCCGGAGATAGCCGGAGACAGCCGGAGATAGCCGGAGATTGCCGGAGATTGCCGGAGATTGCCGGAGACTGCCGGAGATTGCCGGAGATAGCCGGAGATAGCCGGATATTTCCGGAGATTGCTGGAGATTGCCGGAAATAGACGGAAATAGCCGGAGATTGCCGGAGATAGCCGGAGATAGCCGGAGATAGCCGGAGATAGCCGGAGATTGCCGAAGTTTACCGGAGATTTGCGGAGATAGCCGGAGATAGGCAATATACCAAAAATCAAAATAAACTCGCGAAAAAATCCGTAAAGATAGTTTTATTTAAAAAGTTATCAGTACACAAAATTAAGTTAAAACCGGTTCAGTACTGTTTTCGTGAAACGCGCACACAGAAACAGCCAAAATTTTTCATAATCATTGTTTTGGGGTCTATAGGACACAATATGTTACAGTCATTATTTTGAAAAAATATTTCACGTATAAATTTCGCTTAGTTACTGTTTTATTATATGTATAAATATTAGTTATTTATTAGTTTAAATACATGTTTATTTATTCACAAAGAATCACTTCGGTTCAAAAACAAAATCATGCTCCAAAACATTTATTCTCCGTCATTATCGCGCTCACGCACTCTCCTCGCGTAAACTCAGCGTCACAAATGTACAACTTCTGAATAACCCATCGGTGATATGCGCCTCCAATATTTTTTTAAATGTATTCCGAAGTCATACCTCTAGGGGTTTTTTTTATTTTTCGATAAATGTTTAAATACATGTTTATTTATTTACAAAGAATCACTTCGGTTCAAAAACATAATCATGCTCCAAAACATTTATTCTCCGTCATTATCGCGCTCACGCACTCTCCTCGCGTAAACTCAGCGTCACAAATGTACAACTTCTGAATAACCCATCAGTGATATGCGCCTCCAATATTTTTTTAAATGTATTCCGAAGTTATGTCTTTAGGGGTTTTTTTTATTTTTCGATATCTTATTTCATTTCGAGGTATGTTCTTTTTTTTCTGACCGAAACCGAGTGAAAAGTGACCGCATTTTTACATTTTTTCGAATTTAAAAAAAGGCTTTGTGTATTTTCAATTTTTTTTTTAATTTTGTAGCCCTCATTCAGACGCATCTTCTAACATCCCAATCAAACACGTATTCCCAAAATCCACGACACCAGGGCGATGTCGCACTTTCGCTGAAAATGGGGCCTATACTGAAGCGACAAAAAAATTTGCAATATTAAAACAGATAAATTAGATGTACTTGTATGAGCTATCTATACTACGAGTAAAATATTACTCGTTTTAAATTAAATATTTTCGTTTATAATAATAAAGAGGTAAAGTTTGTGAGTTTGTGAGGCTGTAGGAGGTAATCTCTGGATTTACTGAACCGATTTACATGAAATTTGTTGAGAAGATATTTGAGACCTTGGGATATATAGAGAATATTTTAGAAATTATATTTTTATTAAAAAAATATGTTTTTTACAAAGTTACAAGTATAGTCTATTAATGTTAGTAAAGTTATCTCCATTAGTTTAATTTTTTAGTATAGTACCATTGTTTTACTATGCAGTTTTTGGCACGCCATGGTGTTCATCGATACTTAAGTGTAGTTAAAATTCCGCTGCACTGGGTCAGTGGGGCGGTGGTAGAAATATGCGAGTGGTATTAAATAATTGGTCGCGTGCCGACCCCGCGGCGCCGGCAGTGTCAACGGCACTGCATGAGGCGCACTGCGGTACTATTTGAACTCTATCAGTTTTTGCAGATTTTGAATGACTTAGCATATCTACATGTACAGTACATCTATTCTTAATGTTAACTAGCCTTGTACCCGGAACCACTTTCAACTGTCATTATCATAAACGAGTCTAAAATCTACTTTGAATGAAATTTTGTTTAACAAATGATAAAAAATTATAATATTCGCTTGCTTACAGACTATAATAATTATGACGACAGTAAATCACTTGAAGAATATAAATAAATATAAATCCAATGGGTAACCCTAATCGCCTAAAGCATTTACAATATAACGTTTTTATAAGATTACCTGCTTATATTACACATTACATTCACTTCACGTAAAAAATAAAATCTATCCTCCATCCCAACAGTGTGCGGGAAAACAGCCGTGGCTTATCCGTAATTCCGACCGGTGAGCGATCTTGAGAAATTATTAATGCACAAAATGATACAAAGACCGGATTCTAAGACAAGAAACTTTGTTGGGGTGCGTGATTTTACTTCAAAGTGTATTTTTTTTTATTTTTTCGGAATAAGACTGCGAACACAATTTTGTTCATATCGTGTACATAACTTATTTAGAATACAAGAAACAGTCTATAATAGCTGGCGGCGCGCAATAAAATCCTCTAAGCTAATAGACTGCTCTTTGTTTGCACGTAAAGTTGCTGGTTGAATCATAGTGATTTCTACATTATGCTAACGCAATATTTTAAATATAATATTTTAACTTACATTATACTTATTTAGTTTAAAAAGAAAAGTTAAAAAATATTAGGGTCATTTCACAAAATCAATGGTTTTATTTTATAGTTATTTATTCTAAATTAAAAAAAAATATGAAAATAAATCTTTCTTAGATTGACTAATTTTATGTTTAGATACTTAGAAAAATGGTTTTGTTTATTTAATAAAATAATAGCGATGTTTATAGTACTTAGATATTTTTTTAAAAAGGGTCCAACTTCAGGTAAATTTCTAAGAAATCTATTGATAACTGTAACGCCGGCGTGTCCGTGTTCGTTGAGGGATTAAAAATAAGTACATATGTTGCATAAAATTATGATTTTAAATTATTTTACATTTCAGACTTATTTAATCTAAAAATTTTAACTTTAAATAAATTTTTAGTTTAATTGTATCTTTTTATTTAGAGTTAAGAGAACAGAGCCTTATACAAACATCGAAAATTATAAAAATAATATATGATAATGTATAATATAAATTTTCATTAATTATTTTAAGTAAGTGATGATGTTCGTGCACACTGTTGGTTAATTAGCCATCTAACGGGGATATCGCACGTTATGGAAATTAGAGGCATCGCCCGTTATCATATTTTATTTAATATCTGACTTAACCATATCAAAATGCTTATACATTGTTTTATAAAACTATTTTTAATTTAAATAGCTACCACGTAATATATTATATAAAAAATAAACAAATAATAATGATAAATAAATTGAAAACACAATATTTCTAAGTATATCCCTTACTTTATTTAAAATAAAAAAAAAAATTACACCGTATTCACTATTCTAAAATGTACAGTCAATATACGATGCGATGTGTTGTCTGACAGTAAACAATACAGCACTTAACCTCAAAGAAAGTGGAAAACTCAAGCATTTATTACTCCATAGTATGTATAATTTTACTCCAAGTGGAAATCGAACCCATAAGCATAAACGTAACATAATATCTGGCAAAAAACGTTAAATCTGTTATAATAAACAAAATTTAATGTACATAAAGCTAGAAAGCATTACTCAGGCTTATTCAAGTTACGGCGACCTCAGTAAACAAATCTGGGTATAGGGTAACATAATTTCATAATCTTAACGACCTGGTGGCCGCGTAAATTGAGGAGTTTAGGGCGTCCCTCCCTCGAGGATAAACACTTAGCTGACCAAATCCTAACATCTTCTGAGCAGCGGGAAATAATGTACCCAATGATGTCTAAATGGCTTTTGACCATTTCAACTTAGTTGTCAGTAAATGGAACGTGTTTGACTAACCTTATATCTTAATGCTTTGTTATGGAGTTGAACCGATCTTAGCTATATTATTTTGCTTGGTAAGCACTATGATTTGATTATTGATATAATGGCAATAACTATACTCACATAAATCAACCTTTTGAAATGACTTTAATAACATTATCTTATGTAATATATAAAATTCTCATGTCAGTGTTTGTAGCAAAACTCCTCCGAAACGGCTTGACCGATTCTTATGAAATTTTGTGTGTATATGATGTCAGTAGTCCTAAGAATAGGACGTAAACTATTTTTCATACCTCTAAGTGATAAAGGTGGCCCACCACAAAAATTTATTTTTTATTTTTAAGACAAAATTTTTAATTTTCATTTTTTTATGATTCGGCATGAAAAATACATACAAACCTAAATTCTAGGGACGAACCCGAACGGGGCAAGGGTGAGTCGCTAAGTATACATATATATTCTTTATTGCACAAGTTATTGAAAAATGTTTGAATAACTACTAAATTAGTATTTATTGTTCTATAACTACAACTAATATTATAATGACTTTTTTATTGGTTTTAACGCGCTAATCTCTGGAATTACCAGTCATTAAAATTCTTTTTGCATTTAATAGCCTTTTTATTTAGGAAATTTAGGTACAGCTATTTAAAATCATACTACGACCCTAAAGAGCAATAAATAAAATTCTAACTATAATAAAATTCTAACTCGAGTCGAATCTGTACATTAAATATTTTTTGGAAAATCTTATCGTATATATAGTTTTTAGAATTATTGTTTGTCTGTCTTAGTCTGTCTGTCTGGGAACGCATCACGAGAAAACCATGGAATAGATTTTGATGAAATTTGTTACGATGATAGTTGGTTATCCGGGTCAACATATAAGATACTTTTACTGCGAGAAAATATTTCATATCTAAAAAATCAAAGTCTACACTAACCTTAAAACGTAGGGACATACATAAAATAAACTACGCAAGCGAAGTTACAAGCAAAAACTAGTCCATAAATGGAAGCTTTCATTTTAAAATAGTGTATGTACAATGCCAACTATCTCAATATATCTACAACCACAACTGAAGCTTCAATCCTTATAATCCAATAGAATAATGAAGATATTAATGGATAATATCAAAGTTTAAACTGTTGTTCACATCGGCTCGAGCGCAGTCATTAATTTAATTAACGTACGACGCCGCCCGCCGTGATGTGCTCTGCGAGACAGATAATCATACTAAATGACTTTTCGAACACGCTCAATGGTTTTATTTTATATGATCGATGCTATTTACATTTATATTCATAACAATTTTATAAACACTTTCGGGCATAAACGTGATTTTTAAACCTATATTAAGTAAAATGAATGCGATTTTATACCCATTATTGAATGTTTGTTTAATAATACGGTAGTACAGTATGTATTAGTGTAGGTAGAATGAAGGTTTTAAGGCTTTCAAGCGTCGAGGAAAATGAAGATTTTATAAAAGGTGAAAAAGGTTGAAGTGTCGAGGCGGCAACGTTTGACATTTTGACCCTGTGCCAGTAATCGTGGGATATATGGCCGAAGGAATTTGACGTAATTTGGATTACTATGTCACGAATCTTTTATTGCGATGTCATAAATCTTTTATTTATATACATCGAACTTATTCTCATTCTTAGTAAACTTTTGCTTTATAGCATACATGCAAGCAAAACCATAAGCAAAAATCTAGCTGGGAAATGTAATAAATGATTGATAAATACACATTTGTCTGAAATATTTAAAGTCTTAAATATACAAAAGTCAACTTTTGATTATGAGCAAAGCGAAATTCGCATACGATGTGTCAGCTAAATTAGACTATAGAGTATAGACAGTGGCTAAATTAAACGAAAACATTGAAGTTTCGTTTTCATTCATTTAATTACCCGGAGTTTTAACGGCGTCGCCGTGTCGCTTCACAATTTACTTGCCCATCCATTTAGATTTTCTCTCGACATTTTTAGATTTCGATAACCTCTGAACCGCTTTTGTTTCAATACAAAAGGTTTATTTAAAAATGTTTTTAAGCCTCTGTGACGAGTGAACTAATACGTGAGACATTTTATCATACAATATTTATATTTTGCCGTCACTGACAGACAGTTTGGATTTTATTATACTATACATACATATCAGCCCATATATCTACTAGCCATCAGATTCGGTTTTATTCAGATTTAAAATGACACACGTGTATTTTATATACGAACTAACTAAAAAAACTAATCAAATAAATATTGTGCTCACACATTTCGTTACATACAGACAAACATACATTCTTTTATGATAAGATTTGCAACACTTTAAAGCGATATTATACCTTAATATCTACAAGTTACGTTCAATTTTTCCTTCCTGTTTATTTTAAATGTATTAAAAAAAGGATATGAGTTGAATCCTATGAGAGTATAAGTGTGAACGAGTTTTCACCTAGTTACAGTTTTCAGATGAAATTTATAGTGGTGGCAATTTTAAATTAAATTTTATCGCTTGTTGCTAAGTGCTTTCTGTAAGTGCCTGATATTTTATGTTTGCTCCCGGGTGTATAACTTAAATTAAACTTATTACGAGAATGAATTTAAGAGTCTAAATTGAAATCTATTTCAATTCTAGTATAGATTTACGTATTACTGATATGTCATGTTCTTACTTTTTTAATCTATTGTTTTAAAACTTGTCACACTTGACGTCTTACATGTGTGCTCATATTTTATTTAACTGGCATCGATATTTCAGTAAAATGATTTTTTGTAATTATGGAACAAGTAAAATAATTATAAAAGTGTAATTTTGTATGTGTGTGCGCGCGTCTGTGTGTGTGTGTATTTATTCGTTCGTTACTCCTTCACACTAGAACGGCTCGACGGATTTGGATGATATTTAGTACACAGTATGGACGCATAAAGCAAAGCGAGTTTAATGCGCTAGTTCATTTAAAATTTTTATTTCTTTTTATAATATAATTTATCCGTGGATACTATTTATCTTAAAATTGAAAACCACCTTTAATTGAAATGAAAACTCCTTATCAAAGCAAACATTTACTTGACTACTTACTTTATTAAATTTGATGTTATTCCAGCGTCCGTCACCCGTGTGGATTTCTGTTTGGTCCACAACCTCTAACTGCTTAAACTCACATACCTACACTGGTTCTATCTGTACCTATCTATTTTGTGTATTTTTGTTAAATTCTTAACTGTTTGAAATCGATCTTAAGTTAATCAGTCATTATTTATATAAAAAAATAATTCTCAAAAATTAATTCTTCAAATTGAGAGGCTGACGATGAAATTAAATATGTAGAGTTAAGTCACATAATTTGATCAGCTAATATTCTAAATGCAAAAGTATATATGTTAGTTTGTAAGTTATTTTTTCATTAAGGGGGCAACGGATTGACTTGTTTTTGTGCAGAAAAATAGTTTATGGGGTAGACAGCAGGGTAGACCACATTTTACTACGAAACTTCAAATATTTACTATAGGACATAAGTTAGTTACAAATTTTTTGTAAGGATTATCAGTTGAATTACAGTTACTTTACTTGTATGCTCTACTAGTATATATCAAATTGTTTAATTAAATGTAGATAGAGATGAAATAAAAAGTAACTCTACTAATGATCTTTTGGCTTTCACCCAATATGTTGAACGACGGTGTCTACGAATAAGTAATGGAAATAGTGTTGTGACAGTGATTTTATGAATTAACGCATCGATCACTTTAATATAAGAAAATAAATAGGTAACGCGTATTAAAATTATATTATAATAACAAATCAATTTTGATGGATAATTTTACTATTTTTTCTTTTATAAAATAATAATTAATTAAAATTAAATAAAAAACAATAACTATATTCTATTAATAAAACTTATTTCCTATATAAAACATTGTGTTACTAGCCAAATAAATTATTATTCAAATATTCATCAAATGACATTTAATATAGATCTTGTCAAATTATGCGTAGATCCCGACATAACTATTATTGTAGAGTATGAGAATATCGGTTGCTTTTTAACATTTAATACGCTATGAATATTCTATAAGAAGCAATAGATAAGGTGGAGTTTTACTACATTCAAGTAGCGGAACGAACTTGGTGAAAAGATGAAAATATTTTTGACCTCCAAGGCTCAGAGGACACTGAATATTTAAAAAGTCCACTGCTACGAAGCAGGCACTGTAAGGGACTAGCTTTACATACAACTTACAGACGTTAAAGGCGAATTATTTATACTATTTTCATTTAATTTTCGTGGCTATCGAATATCTGATCTAATAGGATACATGTAACTAATCAAGTAGGATTTTAATAATAAAACGAACTGTCAAATGTGTGCTTATACGTTGATTTAGGTGTTTATCTATCGCCGTGTTCACTGCGGCGTCGTCAAAGTGTAGAGGGAACATGACAAATCACTCTGCTCTCCGATTTCCGTATGTATTTAGATATTATGTATTTTCCGTTACCCGTACTATTAGTCTTAACAAAATTATGTTAATTATTTGTATATTCAAAAGCCTTTACTTTCCTTAACAATCACGCAGCAACAGAACATATTTACCATTTTTTCATATTTAATGATTTCTATACAATAAAAGTACATTGCAAAAGACACGTTTTCTTAAATTAAACTACTAAATATATCTTGGTAATAATGCCATTCGTAGACGGCGATTTTCAATGCTGCTCTTTAAGACCGGTTTAGTCTAAGGGCGGGCAGTGCTGTGCCTACAATTTATCTTATTTATTTAACTGGTTACTTATATGGTTACCACTTGTATGCTCAAATAAAAACATACATTAATTATTACCTTTACTAAAATAACACTTGTTCTATTAGCAGCTATGGAAAAAAATAAACGTATGCTTTTGCATTGCAATAGTTTTATCTAAGCGATTCCCATGGGATTTTACTGTGTACAAAAAAAA